CCAGTGGTGAGGTTGGAAAAACACAACTCTATATAGTACACAATGTTGCAGTAAAACTTGAACCCAGGATCTGGTCCCTAGGCTAAGCAGGTGTTCAAGGCAGTGGTGTACAAATACAAGTGACACACACCTTGATGACGAAGGTATGACTCAAAATTTCTCCTTCTCCACTTGACCTTTCCTCCTTCCCCCACCATCCCCACCATCATCGGGAAATCGGGAACCATGGTCCAAGCAAGAAAACCAATAGCTTAAACTATAAGCAGAGTGTTTGGGTCGTGGTTGTTTAGTGTACTAAGACACACGAGTAGGCAAGTATGTATTCTTCTCCCGTGAACTAGTCTGGCAGAGCTACACCCATACTATTGGAATCAGCATGGAGTTGCTACAATGATATAATGGTTAAAAACTACAGAACAGAGAAACAAAGAAAACCAGGATATGGTAATCCAACCAACACCTCACTGCCCTAGGCTAAGTAGGTGTTCAAGGCAGTGGTGTACAAACACAAGTGGCATGCTTGATGAGCTCCACGAGACTACCTTAGAACCAGCATGGAGTAGTTACATAATAGCTTGGTTACTTTACCTTAACACTGCCATAATGTATATACTCCCTTCCAGAGTGTGGGGAGGGTATGGAGTGGTGCAGTCTGCGGAAGACCACCATTGACAACATGACCCAGTACCTGGCCCGCAAGGAGGAGAGGATGCGCCACCAGAGAGGCTCGGCCAATAAGCTCCCCACCTCCGACACCAGAGCTGACGAGAAATCTCCACAGCCTCCTCCCGAGAAGAAGATGAAGACTCAAACTGTGACATTGTGATGTGTTTGATCATGTGCATCTCTACATGAATTTTGTGTCAATCATGTGAGACGTCATATTGACTTGCAGCATGAAACTTGAGGGGGAACTCTTTCACTGTTTTCACATGTTCGGTGCGTCATTTTGTTCTGGGGTGTGGGTGGAAGATAGACCAATTATGTATAAAGCAATCCATGAGAGTTTACTCTCTCGACTTGTGTTTACTAGCAAATCAACATAATTACACGCCAACAATGGCTAACCCTGAGCCCAATCTTCGTATTAACAATGAGACTAAGTTTTGGTATGTCTCCATCTGGTCTCCCTTTGTGTAGCTACCGTTCCCCTTATAAAATCTTTGCAATTTCAGTTCATTGCGGAGTTTGTACTTTTAACTAGTCAACCAGTGCAAATGAGGAGGATCACTCCTCTGCTAATTCAGTACTACACATCATCACATATTACAAACTAATGTATGCACCATAATATTTCATGCATGTCTGCAGTAGTCAGATACTGAACAGTAATGTAGGGACACATCACACAGACTCATAGAGAGAGTCTCCAGCAGCAGCAGTGGTAGGCTGGGAGGAGGTGGAGGGAGGAGGGCTTGTGTTACCTCATATTCACCTTCAGCTGTACTTCCAGTCCCTCTCACTACATCGTAGGCCTCATTACTGGAGGTCTGGAACTGCTCTGAGCCCCTGATGGAACAAGGCACAGTTGACAGTAGAAAGAAGTAAAGTTCAATGATAGAACCTCCATTTGTGGCACTTAACCTACAGATATTTCTTTCCTGAAATGTGGGCATTTCTACGCCAGTGTTCGTGGAGGCTGCATAAAAAGAAAAAAGTGTTGACTGTTTTTGATGGTGGTCCATAGTCATGTTACCTTTAGCTCTTTGGAGTTTCCTGATGAAAAAGACTATCACCATAGCCTGCACTACTATAGCAGTCACAATCACCACTCCCAACACACCACCAAGAGACGCTGCCAATGCTGATGAATCACTCCTAATACACGAGTCTGATTTAGACAGAGAAAGAAAAAAGTTAATACGGTACACAGTAAAACCTCATGTACGGGATACTCTGAATCAAGGACACAATTCAAAATACCTTTCAATATAGGACACACTACTTAAGGTCCCAAACAAAGAACACACTTTAACAATCAATTTAAGGGAGGGTCCATAAATGACATAATGCCTGGTCCCAATGCATCCATTATTCAGAGGTTCCACAGTATATCGGTGGAGCAAATGAAGTACATGTATAAATAGACACACTAACCTTCAGCCGAAGAGTGAGTA